GAAGATGTAAAAAAGAAAAAAGAAGATGAGCGTTAAAAAAAAAGAAGAAAAGAAAGAGAAATAAACAATGAAACGAAATAGAAATGTGTAAATGATACAGGGGAGGAGTAGTAAGAGGAAGAGTAGTATTGTAGGAACAAAAATGAAAAAAAAATGAACAAAAGTCTAAGATAAAATATGGAACGTCAGGAAGAATTCTCAGGAAAATGTAGAAAAAATGGTAAAGACAAGAATAGATAGAAAAATAAAATGCTTGGAAAAATTTGTAGGCAGTAAAAAAAATTGGAAGTAAGGAAATTGAAAAAGTGAAGTTGTCGGTAGAAAGTGAAAAACAAGAAATGCGTAAAAATAAACTGAAAGATAAAAACAATAGAAACCCTCATATCCTGAATCCATCATGTCCGGAATCTCTCATACCCGGAATCTCTCATACCCGGAATCTCTCATACCCGGAATCCCTCATACCCGGAATCTCTCATACCCGGAATCTCTCATACCCGGAATCCCTCATACCCGGAATCTCTCATACCCGGAATCTCTCATACCCGGAATCCTTCATACCCGGAATCTCTCATACCCGGAATCTCTCATACCCGGAATCTCTCATACCCGGAATCCCTCATATCCTGAATCCATCATGTCCGGAATCTCTCATACCCGGAATCTCTCATACCCGGAATCCCTCATATCCTGAATCCATCATGTCCGGAATCTCTCATACCCGGAATCTCTCATACCCGGAATCCCTCATACCCGGAATCTCTCATACCCGGAATCTCTCATACCCGGAATCTCTCATACCCGGAATCCCTCATACCCGGAATCTCTCATACCCGGAATCCCTCATATCCTGAATCCATCATATCCGGAATCTCTCATACCCGGAATCTCTCATACCCGGAATCTCTCATACCCGGAATCTCTCATACCCGGAATCCCTCATATCCTGAATCCATCATGTCGGAATCTCTCATACCCGGAATCTCTCATATCCTGAATCCATCATGTGCGGAATCTCTCATACCCGGAATCTCTCATACTCGGAATCCCTCATATCCTGAATCCATCATATCCGGAATCTCTCATACCCGGAATCACTCATATCCTGAATCCATCATGTCCGGAATCTCTCATACCCGGAATCTCTCATACCCGGAATCCCTCATATCCTGAATCCATCATATCCGGAATCTCTCATACCCGGAATCCCTCATATCCTGAATCCATCATGTCCGGAATCTCTCATAGCCGGAATCTCTCATACCCGGAATCTCTCATATCCTGAATCCATCATGTCCGGAATCTCTCATACCCGGAATCTCTCATACCCGGAATCCCTCATATCCTGAATCCATCATGTCCGGAATCTCTCATAGCCGGAATCTCTCATATCCTGAATCCATCATGTGCGGAATCTCTCATACCCGGAATCTCTCATACTTGGAATCCCTCATATCCTGAATCCATCATATCCGGAATCTCTCATACCCGGAATCACTCATATCCTGAATCCATCATGTCCGGAATCTCTCATACCCGGAATCTCTCATACCCGGAATCCCTCATATCCTGAATCCATCATATCCGGAATCTCTCATACCCGGAATCCCTCATACCCGGAATCTCTCATACCCGGAATCCCTCATATCCTGAATCCATCATATCCGGAATCTCTCATACCCGGAATCTCTCATACCCGGAATCCCACATATCCTGAATCCATCATATCCGGAATCTCTCATACCCGGAATCTCTCATACCCGGAATCCCACATATCTGAATCCATCATATCCTGAATCTATCATATCCGGAATCTCTCATACCCGGACACTCTCATACCCGGAATCCATCATATCCGGAATCTCTCATACCCGGAATCCCGCATATCCGGACATGATTTCATGTGCATATTTGAACTATTTGTGTAATATTTAACTGATTTGAAATTTCTGTTTTTCAGGAAATTTACTTTGGATAATTGCTTCTACTTATTTCACCCTAATGTATTGTACTGGTGCAGAAGATGATGGTGATAACAGGAAAGGATGACAACGAGACACATCTGCAAAAAGATAGCGACGAAATACATGATTGTGATGAAAATCTGGTTTGAAATTGAAAAAATCTATTGAAAAAGTTGTCAGTTTTATGGAAAGAAAGCCAGCATTCAGCTATGATGATTGTAAGAAGGCACGCAGAGTTAAAATGTGTCTTCCGTTAAAAAAAATCAAGATCAAAAGCAAAACGACATGAATAAATTTCTGATTTTCAATTATAGTAGAATTCCTCATATCATATCCCTAATCTCTCATATCCGGAGTATCTCATATTCGGAATCCTGCATATTCGGACACGATTTTAATGTGTATATTTGAACTATCTGGGTGATATGTAACTGATTTGAAATTTCTGTTTTTCAGGAAATTTACTTTGGATAATTATGATTATTTCACCCAAATGTATTGTATTGGTGCAAAGGATGATGGGAATAAAAGGTAAAGAACAACTTTGGAGTTATCGCAAAAAGTGGAAATTTTAAAAAGACGAGACGCTGGTGAAAGTTCATTGTAACTAATGGGTGAGCTCAACATAGGAAAATCGCCATTGTATGATATAAAATCTCCCAAATAAACTATTCTCCAGCGTTCATACTGTCGGAATGAACATGAAAATAAAAAAACAAGATTGGGATGAAACCTGGACTGAAATATAAATGCGGAAAAAATTGAGAATGACATTAGAAGAAAAAGAATCATCATGCAGAAGCGATTTAAAAAATTCTCCTTACATTATTTGTTTTGTATACTTGGCATATTTGATTTAATGAATTTCCATTAACATTACATAATTAATTTCATTTTCTTTACAATCATTTCCGTTATATTTCATTCACCATTAGCTAATTTTATTTACTATAACACATTGAAAATAACTGTTAAATCTTTTATTTTAATCTCAATATAAACCTTGATGACTTTGTAACCAATTCCTCATATCCAGAAGGCCTTCTTAATCCGGATGTTAGGGTTTCTACGGTATATGTTTGAAAGAAACATCAAGAGAAGTTATTGACAGAAAAGCGAGAAGAAATAGGTATAAATGAAACTGAAGAAAAACTAAATGAAAGAGAAGAAAGTGGCTGCAAGTCAATAGAAGGTAAGTAAATAAATAGAAAAAATAAGGACATAAAATTGTAAGACAGAAATTTGAAGAAGGAAAATACAAAGTAAATGAAAAAAATTCTTTGAATAAAAATAAAGTGAACAGTATTTTAGAAAAGAAAATGAAAAAAGAACTTGATAGAAAGAAATGTAGAAAAAGAAGGAATTTCTATACATATAAAGCAAGAGAAAAATTGGAACAAAGAAAAATTCGAACAAAACAGAAAGAAAATGAAGAAATCATTGGAAGAAGGAAACTGAAAAAAAGAAGTATTAGATAAAAAATAAATTAAAAAAAAAAGATGAAATCGTTCAAAATACGAATGGAAGAATGAAGAAATTATTACAAAGAAATTGAAAAAGAAATGACAAATTTAGAGAAGATATCGATAGAAAGGAAAATGAAGAAGAGAAACATTTTCGTAACATAAACGACAAAAAACAATCTGATTGAAATAAATAATAATCTGATTAAAATAAAATGAAAGAGAAATAATTGGAAAAATTAAATATGAAAAAAAATCACTTTCCTACTGCATGAATAAGAAACCTGAATCGACAAAGTAGTGGTTCTATAAAGAATGCCAAAAATAACATGGGTCAAACTTGCGAAAAGCAAATGAGATTTAAGGAAAATTAGAACTACAAGGAAACTAATGCTTAGAATGAGAAACATAGCTAATAAAATTCCTGGGACACATAATGCGAAAAAAAGACTGAGACTTTAACAAAAACAATCAAGACAAGGAAAGGAGGTGAAAAGAATGAACAATCTTTTTAATGACTGCGTGTGGTTGGATGACTAAAAAAGACAAATAGGGATCATGCATTCTCCAATCAGGGGAAATCCGCGAGTAAACTACTTAATGTTTGGGTGTAATTTGGTGACAAATAGGAATCAAATATTGTCCAAAAATGGTAAATCCGAGAGTAAATTACTTAATGATTAGGTGAGATCGTGTGACAGAAAAAGTACCACTAGGAATCAAATATTCTCTAACTAGGAAAAATCCATGAGTAAACTACTTAATGATTGGGTGAGATTGGGTTAAAGAAAAAAGACAAATAGGAATTATATATTGTGGAAAAAGGGTAAACCCGCCAGTAAACTACTTAAGGATTGGGTAAGATTGGGTGACAGAAAAAGAACAAATAGTAATTTATATTTACCAACCAGGGGAAATCCACGAGTAAATTACTTAATGATTGGGTGATAAAAAGGACAAAAAGGAATAGTATATCCTCTAACCAGGGGAAATCCACGAGTAAATTGCTTAATGATTGGGTGAGATTGGGTGATAAAAAAGGACAAATAGGAATCGTATATCCTCTAACCAGGGGAAATCCACGAGTAAATTACTTAATGAATGGGTGAGATTGGGTGATTAAAAAGGACAAATAGGAATCGTATATCCTCTAACCAGGGGAAATCAACGAGTAAATTACTTAATGATTGGGTGAGATTGGGTGATAAAAAAGGACAAATAGGAATCGTATATCCTCTAACCAGGGGAAATCCACGAGTAAATTACTTAATGAATGGGTGAGATTGGGTGATTAAAAAGGACAAATAGGAATCGTATATCCTCTAACCAGGCGAAATCCGCGAGTAAACTACGTAATGATTGATTGTGAATTGATGAGAGAGACTTTTCTGTAAATACTTTCATCGTAAATGTCCTCATGAACTCTCCTTCATGTTAGTTAAAATCTATGAATTCAAGCATATTACTAGATTTGCAGCAAAATCACTTTATTTTACAGTCAATATGGCTAAATGTAACCGTGAGTTCTATACTAACACTGTCTTTTCTCGCACGTTGCTTTCGTGGAGCAATTACTCTGCATCTGACTTTCCGATCAAATTTGATCTTTAAAAATTTAAATGCTATTTCAATCGTTATCGACTGTCTTAATGATTTTTGTTGTTCTTGCTCTTTAATAGTGTGTTTATCATATAGCTTCAGCGTCAGTACACATTCCCCTGCATATTATTGGCTTTGTTGTCTTGATTGGCGGGAAATGAGTTTAGAAAAAGAAAAAGGTATAGATGAAAAACAAACTAGAGGATTTTTAAAAAGTTTTTATTCTCATAATGCAATTTATATTTTTAATCATCTTTCCGCGGAGAAAGAAAATAACATCATAAGTAAATATAATAAAAACGACAATAACATTCTAAGTATATATAATAGAGAGGACAATAACATCATAAGTATATATAATAGAGTGGACAATAACATCATAAGTATATATAATAGAGAGGAAAATAACATCATAAGTATATATAATAGAGTGGACAATAACATCATAAGTATATATAATAGAGAGGGCAATAAAATCATAAGTATATATAATAGAGTGGACAATAACATCATAAGTATATATAATAGAGTGGACAATAAAATTATAAGTATATATAATAGAGAGGACAATAACATTATAAGTATATATAATAGAGTGGACAATAACATTATAAGTATATATAATAGAGAGGAAAATAACATCATAAGAACATATAATAAAGACGACAATAACATCATAAGTATATATAATAGAGTGGACAATAACATCATAAGTATATATAATAGAGTGGACAATAACATCATAAGTATATATAATAGAGTGGACAATAACATCATAAGTATATATAATAGAGAGGACAATAACATTATAAGTATATATAATAGAGTGGACAATAACATTATAAGTATATATAATAGAGAGGACAATAACATCATAAGTATATATAATAGAGAGGATAATAACATCCTAAGTACATATAATAAAGACGACAATAACATCATAAGTATATATAATAGAGTGGACAATAACAACATAAGTATATATAATAGAGTGGACAATAACATCATAAGTATATATATATATAATAGAGAGGACAATAACATCATAAGTATATATAATAGAGTGGACAATAACATCATAAGTATATATAATAGAGGGGACAATAACATCATAAGTATATATATATATAGAGAGGACAATAACATCATAATTATATATAATAGAGTGGAGAATAACATCATAAGTATATATAATAGAGAGGACAATAACATCATAAGTATATATAATAGAGAGGACAATAACATCCTAAGTACATATAATAAAGACGACAATAACATCATAAGTATATATAATAGAGTGGACAATAACATCATAAGTATATATAATAGAGTGGACAATAACATCATAAGTATATATAATAGAGAGGACAATAACATTATAAGTATATATAATAGAGAGGACAATAACATCCTAAGTACATATAATAAAGACGACAATAACATCATAAGTATATATAATAGAGTGGACAATAACATCATAAGTATATTTAATAGAGTGTACAATAACATCATAAGTATATATAATAGAGTGGACAATAACATCATAAGTATATATATAATAGAGAGGACAATAACATTATAAATATATATAATAGAGTGGAAAATAACATCATAAGTATATATAATAGAGAGGACAATAACATCATAAGTATATATAATAGAGAGGACAATAACATCCTAAGTACATATAATAAAGACGACAATAACATCATAAGTATATATAATAGAGTGGACAATAACATCATAAGTATATATAATAGAGAGGACAATAACATCATAAGTATATATAATAGAGTGGACAATAACATCATAAGTATATATAATAGAATGGACAATAACATCATAAGTATATATAATAGAATGGACAATAACATCATAAGTATATATAATAGAATGGACAATAACATAATAAGTATATATAATTGAGTGGACAATAACATCATAAGTATATATAATAGAATGGACAATAACATCATAAGTATATATAATAGAGTGGACAATAACATCATAAGTATATATAATAGAATGGACAATAATATCATAAGTATATATAATAGAGTGGACAATAACATCATAAGTATATGTAATAGAGTAGACAATAACATCATAAGTATATATAATAGAGTGGACAATAACATCATAAGTGTATATAATAAAGAGGACAATAACATCCTAAGTACATATAATAAAGACGACAATAACATCATAAGTATATATAATAGGACAATAACATCCTAAGTACATAATGGACAATAACATCATAAGTATATATAATAGAGGACAATAACATCCTAAGTACATATAATAAAGACGACAATAACATCATAAGTATATATAATAGAGTGGACAATAACATCATAAGTATATATAATAGAGTGGACAATAAAATCATAGGTATATATATAATAGAGAAGACAATAACTTCCTAAGTACATATAATAAAGACGACAATAACATCATAAGTATATATAATAGAGTGGACAATAACATCATAAGTATATATAATAGAGTGGACAATAACATCATAAGTATATATAATTGAGAGGAAAATAACAACCTAGGTACATATAATAAAGACGACAATAACATCATAAGTATATATAATAGAGTGGACAACAACATCATAAGTATATATAATTGAGTGGACAATAACATCATAAGTATATATAATAGAGTGGACAATAACATCATAAGCATATATAATAGATTGGACAATAACATCATAAGTATATATAATAAAGACGACAATAACATCATAAGTATATATAATAGAATGGACAATAACATCATAAGTATATATAAAAGAGTGGACAATAACATCATAAGTATATATAATAAAGACGACAATAACATCATAAGTACATATAATAAAGATGACAATAACATCATAAATATATATAATAGAGTGGACAATAACATCATAAGTATATATAATAGAGTGGACAATAACATCATAAGTATATATAATAGAGAGGACAATAACATCCTAAGTACATATAATAAAGAGGACAATTACATCCAAAGTACATATAATAAAGAGGACAATAACATCATAAGTATATATAATAGACTTGACAATAACATCATAAGTATATATAATAGAGTTGACAATAACGTCATAAGTATATATAATAGTGTGGACAATAACATCATAAGTATATATAATAGAGAGGACAATAACATCCTAAGTACATATAATAAAGACGACAATAACATCATAAGTATATATAATAGAGTGGACAATAACATAATAAGTATATATAATAGAGAGGACAATAACATCCTAAGGACATATAATAAAGACGACAATAACATCATAAGTATATATAATAGAGTGGACAATAACATCATAAGTATATATAATAGAGAGGACAATAATAACCTAAGGACATATAATAAAGACGACAACAACATCATAAGTATATATAATAGAGTGGACAATAACATCATAAGTATATATAATAGAGTGGACAATAACATCATAAGTATATATAATAGAGTGGACAATAACATCACAAGTATGTATAATAGAGTGGACAATAACATCATAAGTATATATAATAG